TATTTGTTGTTAAAAATGCATATAACATTCAAATTTGAAGCAATAAAATAATAATCTTTGCAACCGTACATTTATCGACGAAATAAAATTGGGCGGTGATACCCGACATTCATGTGAGCGGGGCTACCCGAAGTCCAATTTTTTTTTTTTTGTAAATTTGTAATTACGCGAACAATTATTCACATATAAACTTCTTTCTTTGTGCAAATTAAACTTAAGACTACATACTTTAATGCTGTTTGTATAGAAAAAATATTTTTTTAGTCTTAAAATGAAGTTTAATCGAAACATTCAACCAATTTTTCTTAATTTCATGACTACTGTTTTCAACATATTTTCAAAACTATTGTTTACCATGTCAACAGCTGCATAAATACTTGAAACTTTGAAAATAATCTTTTTTTTATATAACAATTAATGTCAGATGGCCCATTGACTTGAAAAAATATTCTCTACATATGAAATTGACAGTGAGCGAGGCTACCCGACTCTCCCCTATATATATATTTTATTAAACATTGTTGAAAAGAATTGTAAAAAGTTAGAAAAATCGTGCGGCTATTGTATTAGATATTCTTATTTAGAATTGTTAAATAAATTATATCTGGAATACATCCGCACCCGGCTTGGACCGATTACAGTGCTGACGTAAGTTATAAATCCTCAGGGGCAGACGCATCATGGGTTAGAGTCCCCTTGCCGTCTGGCTAACCTTCGGAGGTTTTTATGGCTTTCCTTTCCATGCATCACAAATGCGGGTTAGTTTCATCAAAAAATCCTCCACCTTTCTTCCAAAACTTGATCAAGGAGTTCCCATGTTTTCTGGATTAAGTTCGAAATTACAAGACTACAGAGTTGAACATTAGTGGTCGTAAACCCAAAATTCAGGTCGGCTGTTCAATGCCTGTTATAAAAAATTAAAAGATATGTAGATATATATGAAATCAAAAATGTAGCTTGATTGCTTTTCCTAGAAGACAATGCAGATCACAACCTAAAAGTCATAACATGAATTTTGCCCTCTCGGGTCAAATAGTTGGTAAAATTGTTCTCTAATTTGAAAGGTTTAATGTTATAACTTTTTAAAAAGTATGCAAAAAGTATGAAATTTCACAAATTAATCTAATTTTTAAGCTTTTAAGAACGTATATTGCTTATTGTTAAAACATTATTTTAAAACAAACTATTATTTGAAAATGGATGTTAATGGAGGAAATCATTAAACTTTACTTTTGCATGCTTTGAAAATTCCTCAAATTATTTTTAGCATTTTGCACATTGTAAATGGCTAAGCACTGTATTTTATCAGAGGGTTGTATTCACACATGTTTATATATTTTTATGCATCAATATTTCAAGGGTAACGAATGAGAGCGTAACACTATTCCAACCTTTCAATGCATTCATCCAGAAAAAGAAATTCGTTCCGTTTTTTGTGAGTCATCATTTAACACTTCATTGGCCCAACTCCAGTTTTAGATGCTTGTGTGACTGTGACAATGTGTTGTAAAGAAGCCGCCTTCGGGGAGACGTAAATTGTACACTTTACAACTGTGTTTTTCTGAAATGTTTCTGTTTTTGGAGAATAACATTGGTCTACTAATGTCGTAAATTTACATCAAAAGACAATTTCCCTCGACGCAAATTAGAAAAACTGTAAAATTACAGTGAAAAACATGCTCGCAAACACAAACAGAATTCGGCTCTCCTTATTGATGCTAAACTCTTCAAGAAATATTTTGTTAAATATTTATTACCATGCCAAGTAGTAGAACTCAAAGTTTTACTTTTCAGTATTGACGTTTGAGAGGAGAATTCAAAAAAATATTCATTAAGAAATCTGAAAATATCTTGGAACATAGTCTTATGTGAAACCTTTTCGAATCCCCAAAAATAAGTTTTCAAATCGTTACTGTGAAAATTGAAAATAAAAATCTCCTTAATCCATTGTGAAACAGTTAATAGTCAGTTTTCAAGCAGTTGCTTGCATGGAGTATCATACAGAATGAACTAAAAAGTAGGGCCTAGGTTCGAATCGACCTACGTTCGAATTCTGGTGCTATCTGGTGTAATAGTTCGCTGGTTCAGGACTGCGCCAACAAGTTATTCCAGCAGTAGACAGATCATTCAATTAGAGTTTTATTGTCCTCGTTATTTACGTCAAGTTGTCGTTGTCTTCATATCCATATAACACTAATATTTTACTCAAGAGTCACTCTATAAGAACTAGTTCATTCCAATACTCAATTCATAAGTTCCTCTTTCTTCAGAGTTGAGTTCAAAATTGTAAACGTATGTAGGTGGACAAAGCTATCTGAAATTCGCTGATTGTATTAACTATTCATCGACAGAGGTAAAAAAAAATATTTTAATGAGTGCTTCAAAAACAGGGGCTCCTTTGCAAGACTTGAAAACAAACAAAACAAACAAAAGTTATTTGGAAAAAAAGCGCAAAGTTGCCAACGAAAAATGGAAAAATAAAGGGGATAAACAAAACTAGGAAAACTACCGTAACCGAGAGAGAGAAAATAAAATGCATTTCCACTTACGATGGAGAGGTGGTGAGATACTAATGTTGAGAGAATCAGCATTCATACGAATGAAACAAGATTCTAGGACATTAAGATGAGCTGGTGTGACTGGGGTTAAAAGGATTTTCCCATTGTCGAAATTGAATTTATGTTCAAGATTCTAACAATGTGCAGCAATTGAGGATATCTCGAATTCTTGACAACGGACATATGTATCGTGCTGATTCCCTTGTTAACGACATTAACTCCTCATCATCTCTCCATGGCATGTGGAAACGTACTTTACCCTTAGCTCAGTGTGCGGGTAGGTGACCACATTGTGAAGGGACCGAGTGAAGAGGCGAGCCTGTGAAGAGACCGAGGGTGTCCGATCAGTCCTCGTAAAACTGTTCTACCGTAAAGTGTTCGACTTCACGTGCAGGTTGTTGGGCTACCAAAGAGGGGTAGCCATCTCCTCTGTAGAGGATCAAAATTGTGATAGCATGTCCTCGGATCCTCTTGAGGGATGTTTCCCCGACCATCGCCAATAGCTCCTTGTGTAGCTCTAATGAAACTCAAATAAACTGCAACAATTACCTCGATTTAACCCTCTTGGCCACTGTGGTTTTTTTCCTGTTCTGTTTTTCATCTTTATTATTCCATTTTTCGTTGGCAAATTGATGCTTTTTTTTTCTTCTCATTCACGTCTGGCAAGTCCTGAATATGGATGCCTATTTTTGAAGCGTTTTAAACATGTCAACTGTTATTGCTATTTAGATATTTTCGAAGAAAAGGAAGTTTTTAATCAGGTAATATCTTATCACTTCCTTTTCTTGGAATTATTTATTCAATAATAATTCAAGCGTTGTAACGCACTTGCATATGGTAGCTGTGCAACAATCATTGAACTCGGATGATATTCAACAGCGGTTACAGACCAAACAAAATGGAAAACTTTAGGGTATGGCTTCCTTTTGTAGCTATACAAGCTCCCATAGGATAGTGGAGCTTAGTAGTTTATTTGACAATAACTATCACAATCAATGGGAAACGCTGTTTTTAAGCTTTGGATGATTGAGGGAAAAAAACTGGAAAGTTTCAAATTCCCTCCTCTAAGTGTTCTTAGATATGCATTAGATCTGAATATTTGGTTTGGAATCAATTTAGTAAACATCTCTAATGAGCTATATGTGGTATGTGTCGTCATCCATTTGAAGGAAATCAAGGCCAACTCCACCCCTAAAAAGACGAATTTAAGGCTACAAGACTCAAACAATTCAATCTAAATCATAGAGAAAAATGCAGATATTTATTCTCAGATCATCAAATTTTCGCTGTCATGATAACTGATTTCCTGGGTATTTGAGTATTGATATACTTTAATTAAGTAAAATGTCGATGAAACGAAGTTTATATAAATGTTTTATATTAAGTTGCACATTAAAAAAATATAATAACTGCAAAAAGCGAAAAACATCCAATTTGAAAGCTGCCGAAAAATTATGAAAAACTAAAAGGACTCACAAAGCTAATCGTTCGATTTAATTTCCATCAGTTTCAATGATAATGTTTCTTAAATCAGTGAAAATAATTATTCAAAAATCATAATAAAGAAAAGTAAAATATTAATGATTCGTAAGCTCATTATGTAACGACAAGTTAAAAAAATATTTTTAAAAAAACTAAGGAATAACTATTTATTTGTCAGTTAATTACTTTGCTCAAAATAATTAGTTTAAATTTCAATATTAATATAATGTACAGTAATAACTGTTTATTCTCTCTAAGACAATTTTTTTATTAAAATAATTTTCTTAAGACAATTTTTTTATTACCTATTGCAGCAAAAATCGTGTTAAATTAATCTAATACAGATTTTGGAAAACTTAATCCTGTCGGAAATATTAATACAATTTGTTCTTAATTTGTATTTAACATGTCTTCCCTTGAATTTCAGAAACATTTTACTAGCTTTGGCTTAGATTTTACCATTTTTTTCTCGACAATTTCTTTATTCCTATAACATACTTAAATCAATTAAGTAATGAGGCATCTGCAATCCAATTTTCGAAGACTTCGTTGGGCCGGGGTAGCACAGTGTAAAAAGAATGAGATTCCGGTTCGGAGGAACCAGGATTCTAACCTTGATTCCGCTAAGATCCACCGAGTACATACGTGCTCGTTAAATCTGTGGTCGGTAGCTGAGGAGTACCACGGGTATAGAGATCTGGAGAAAATTTCCTTCCCCTTCACCTATGTCTGATTTAAAGAGGTAGCCTCATGAATAAGTGGTGCTGCCATCTATCAGTGGGTTTCTGAGCTAAGACGTACTTTTAAACAAAAGACAGACCTTTCTGACTTAATTCGCAAAAGGCTAACGGGTGATGTGTTTGACTTAGCCAAGTGTCATTCGAAACAACAGAGTTTGTAGATACTTATAGATTCTCTATTATATTGTGATTCTGTCACTCAAAAATAGCAACTTTGTTTGTTAACAAAGTATTATGACAAGTCGTCAACTTTCGATAAAAATAAAATAAAAAATTAAAAAAACTCCCACTTTGGAAGGAAAAATATTGTTTAACACTGGCAATAATATCATTATACTGATTACTATTGATCCTTCTCTGAAATCATTATCATTCATCGTTGCTGAAATAACCATACCCATAACATTTTCTTTCACTTTTCTTTCAAATAAATATACTTACTACTGTATTTTAAAATCCAAGCAAATATTTTTAAATCAAATTTACTGTAATATTTACTTCTAGGTGTATTTTTATGAATGTTGGTTAAGAAGTGATATAAAATATCTCATATATAGTTTTGAAAAGCATTTTTAATTTCTTTCAAATTTCATTGAAATTTTTGCGTTGTATAAATTAGCTTACGAGTGAGACCATTTAAATAATTTTTAAAGCTTTATGTCGTTATTATCAAGAAGGAATGTACTCTTTCTCTACGAATGAGAAACCTTTTAATTTGTATAAATTTCATAACTCGTTAATTAAATAAATTAACTATAAATGTGAAAAAAATTAAAACTATAAATGAATAACATAGAAATTTATGAAAGTTAAACACGTAAAAATATATAAGTAAAGTATGTAAAGGTATAAGTATAAAACTGTAATCAGCATCCATAATAATAGTTTTAAAAAGTCTTCCTTTTTTCTGATTTGCAATGCAAATATTTCGTTAATGTTTTGATTTTAATTACTTTGCATAGTTTGACAGAGTGGTAAAGAGAATTTTAAAAGCAAAATCACTTTTAGCAACTCGATTGCACGCAAATCTTTATCCAATTATTCAAACGCAATTAAACGATTCTAAATTTGTTTAACAAAATTGAAAAAGCATACTAAAAAATACATTCCATGAAACTTATAACTGTTTTAATCGGCTTTATTTAAATGGTCTTATTCAACAATTATGTCTTCTCCATGTTTCATTTAAGCATGAAAAGAGTAAGCGATAATTAGCTACGGATAAAGGGTAATTTCATACTCATAGTATCTTTAATTTGAAAGAGAATCATATCATAGCTAACATTAATGGGCTGATCGCCAGATTGGCAAACAGAAGCCCCTAAAAGTTGTGCCAAATTTTGTGTCGCATTTGACAAAGAAGCGGTTGGAATAAAGATGCCCTTTTGTCGCTAGAGGTGAATTCGAAATAAAGCGACCTGGCGCCTTTTGAGTTGAAATATGACGTAAATACAACTATGTTTACTAACAATAACTCTTGTATATCAAATATATTAAAATGAAATACTTGTAATAAAAACATTTTTTAACACAAAAATCTCATCAAGGTGAAATATTTAATTTAAAAAAATTGTGAAACACAAAAATCACTCACATAGAATTTTATTCACAAAATTTCACTTAGACAAAATGGCGTAGAAATTAAACTTCACTTTTATTGAGTCTGGATTAAAGAGAAATTATCAGAAATCAAATTCCGTTTAAACAAGCTATTGTGTACAATTTATATTGCAGACAATATGTCATATTCTATTTACATAATTTTGATGCTATGTTTTGCAATATGAGAATTTCATTGAAGAAGAATTTACTTGCGTATAGTATTTTTACTGCGTGGTTTTTCATGAAAAAATTAAATTGTAGAATATAACCTACGAGCTGTCTCTAGATTCTAATTTGTAAAAGCAAGATAAAGTATTAAAAAAGGGTTAAAGTTTGAGGCCAACGACTATTTTACGACGGATTATCAGTGAATATTTTTTCTGTTAGTTTCAAACCGGGTCGTTCAGTTTTTGATTCATCCCTTCATTAATTACACTGGGGAACATTTTTTTCTGTAGCAGAGATTTTTTTAACAGATCCTAGATATTTTCTCAATACTCATTTCAAAACTTCAATCAGTTTCTCTCTCCAAGCTCCATTTTTTTTCGAAGTGCTTTAGTTTAAAAACGTTATACAAGGATTCGCGTAAATGTTACGACACGCTTCTAGTGGAGTTAGGGCACATTATCAAGATTAAAATTGTGTAAAAACTCATGCCCGGAAGTATCATCATACACCGCTAGGGACTCTGCTCTATTATGAACTATTTCTTCGTGTGCTTCTGAAAAAGTCATAATAGGGACTGTTTTGTTTGAATATGGTAAACTAACAATTAGATAAATTGTTATTTAACCATTTTTTCCGAGAAATTTCTAACAGTGAGGGTGAAAATTATGGAATACCTTGTATACATATATATACTCTTTGAAGTCGATAAAATTGAATCTTGTAACATTTTTTTTTTAAATTTATTTTGTACTCACTTTACTGAACCGCATTAATAAGCAAATAATTCTATTTTTTTACGTTTGAGATAACTCAATACAATGGCTGAAATTATAACCTGCACATATTTTCGTGTTTCTATGATTGAACTCGTATTGTAATAGCTTATTTTTAAATTCCTGAACCCGTGCTTTTCTTGGAAATTATAGTCGCATTTTCTATAAAATAAATATTTCGATGCACTGACAACTCTTAGATCCGTCATAAAATGAGTTATGTTGTTGAGCTACAGATGTTGAGCATTAACCACAAGTTGAATTTGTGTTCAATTGAATTTTGTTTTGCTTGAAATTAAAATTAAAAAATCTTTTTTTTTTTTGAAATTTATAACTCAGAAACACTATTCAGCTAGTTCTGTTCAAATTTCGTACAACGTTATTTAAAAATTATCTAGTTAAAATCGATCAATTACTCAATACAGTCTTAATATAAAATGACTTTTTTAACGAACAGTGTTTTATTTGTGTGTGTGTATTTTTTATTTAAAAAACAATTGCATTTTTTACAGGGAATTTTGAAGGTAATTACGTTGGAGTGTATAAAACTTTCGTTGTTCTTTGGATTATCTTTGGATTGGGTTACTTAGCTATGCTGCTGAATTATATATCTCGAATGATGCGGTGCAAACAAATAAGAAAAGTGGAGAGAAAATTATCCAGCAGCATTTACGTAACACAACAAAGAATGGGACAAAGATTGGACGAAGTTTATCAAATAATACAGGACGTTTCCAAGGTATCTATAAATCTAAATTCTAATCTTTATGACTTTCACTTTTATAACTTTTTATTTATTAAACCAATGTTATCAATAAATATGACTCATTCAAGATAAACACAAAATAACGAAAGCTGAAATTGTGACCCATAATATACCATTTATTTTATTTTCAAAGAAAATTTGTTTGATAAATTTTAATTACTACTGAATATGAAATAAAATTCAAAAAATTTGTCGTAATAAAATATATTTTCATGAGCAATTATGGTGGTTAGAGCAGTCTACTATGAACCCGGAGGTCTTTGGTTCGAACCCTGCAAGCAACCCATGGACATCTCTTTCACCCTTTCATCCGTTCCTCCCTCCACATTACTTTTCCGATTGTGTTTTTTTTCCTCAAAAATGAGCATGCGCTATTTTAATTTTGAATAAATGAGATTTATAAATTTGACTGTTATCTGTTTCGGTGCTATTTACATACATTTTTGCTGCATTTTAAGAAACCCTTAAGTACAATGTGGGTCGTTTCTGCCTTGTGAACTTGAACTGGTCAAATTAAGTTGTCAATTCTTTATTTTAAAAATTATACTGGATCCAGAAAAGTAACCACTTGGCCGTATCATTACTTGTCCTGATAGATTTTAATACCATAACCATTAAAATGTTGAGAATTCTTTTTCAATTCCATTAGCTCAAATTACTATAATGACAAAATACAGTAGTTCTGCAACCATTGAGAAAAGATGAATTATAAATATAAAAAAAATATATATATATATGTATATTTTTCAAAAATTTCATTTTACTTTTTTATGAAAAAATTTATTGTTAGTAATTTATTAGCAAGTCCGTTACGTTCTCCGAAATCAAAAGTGTCATTTCTTGTTTGAAATATTTATGTTGAGCTGCATTTCCAACTGGAGTTATAATAACTCTCATTTGTTTCAGACTCGAACTATGAAGCCTCGAAATCGTGCAGCCCTGAAGCGTATGCAGTCTTTCCCGGCTCCAGAGCTCAAGGACCAGAACCACAACAACAAAATCCAGAAGATCCTGACTCTTGTGCAGGCTGTAAAGGAAGAAGAACCACAAATAAGACCTCGAAGGCTGAGTTTGCCTTTACCAACTTCTCCTGGGCTCACATCTGCCAACTTTGGTCGTGGATCCTTGCAAGTGTTTTCATCTGCCATTTTAAACGGACCTCAACAACAAACTACTCAATACAAAATGGGCAATGGCCATCTTTTAAAACCTCCAAAAACAATAACCCTTGCCCCCAGTGACTTAGAAATTAATCGGTGTGCAACAAGGCAGGAAACGTCGACTACTGTCGACGAGGAAAAACCTCACAGGTCGAATTATATACGAAGACCTAGTATAGCTGTGATTGATGTTATTTCTGCCGAATTTCCTTCTCTAAATGTTAAAACAACACCGAACGCTCGGACGATAATCGATTTGGAGGGTTTACAATGCACTGAAGTGTGAACTTATCATAAATGAACTAATCTAGTCAAAGAAATGCTAGTCTTGATTTACGAACTCATTCTGTTGAAAACGAATATTAAGTCATCATCGTTATCCGCTCATAAAGTTCAATATGGATAGCATGAGAACTAAATGAAATTAATCTGAACCTGAAATGCATCTCGTAAGCGATTGTGGATAAGATCTAAATACATAACAAAAGACATAGATTTTTTCCTACAGAAGGATCTATAGATTTTTTTTAATTAGAAATGACCCTTTTATTATTTTTATGGGTTTGAACTAATGCTGATACTGCTGGTCTTCTCAGTGTTAAATCCGAGTGAAGATAAATTAAAAGGAAACCAATGTACTGATTAAATTCAGATGGAAATGTGTTTTAAAAAGGGAAATCACAGCTACTGTGAAGTGGTGGCTTGCTTTATTATTGATTGTGAATCATACACTCAATCGACTAACTGAATGGTTTTAAGGAATTTCGTTTGAATGTTCCTTACAAAAATTTTAAAAACAATATTAAGAAAACCAAAGCAGAAAGTGTTGCATTGAGTGTGAAAAAATTCATACAATGTTAGTTTTTTTCTAATGATATGGAAAATCTAGTATTTTTCCTACTTCGGAGAATTTGAGACATCTGGAAATAGTTATGAATTTCATGTTGTGAATTTACTACATTTTTCAAATACAGATGATCTTTATTTTAGATTAACCGAGACCGTCCATGTAACTTTCCCACGTGTGTAACAAATATACGTCTGGTATGTGATTCAGTTTTGATTTAGGCTTTAAAACATGACATATAGGGATTTGTTATTACAGTATTTCCCTTAGCCTCTAAATTATTTTTAATTCATAATAAATTAATCATCCAAAGGAGTATTTTTAAATTTAAGATACTCGTTCTATTTTGATTCCCTATAGAGCTTAACACATAATGTAAAGTTTTAAATGGCTAGAATAAAAGAGAAACTGAATTAATTGAATTGTGACAATGCTAGACTTCCAAAATGGAATTTTAATTTATTTTTACATTGCATGTTTCAACAATATGTGCATTTGTGATTACGATGCTAATCACATCACCGTTGTCATTAACATCGGCAAGGTATTGGCACCATCCATGATCGCTCACTGTAGATGCATCAAATCTATCATTTGAAAATCTTAACAGATTGTAGGAGCTACTGCCATCGATAATTAGCGGGTATGATTTTTTTTATATGGTATACAAGGTTGACGGGCGAAACCGGGCAGTGACAACTTAATCTAAGAAAAAAAGACAAATAAATAAAAGGAAATAATAATATTAAAAAACATCAGCGTAGGATATACCGGCCAATGGCACTCAGATTTAATTTAACAAGAACATTACGGTTGGAATTCGGTTACTCTTTTAACACTCTCCTTTCCTTTTGGTTGTGCGGGGTCAGAGATACTCAGTTTGTTTACACTCGAGTTCAATTTTCGATTGTATGATCCATAAGCTTTCGATTTTATTTTTCAATTAAAAAAACTTTATTTCACATTTATACGTTTGGCCTTAATTCAATTTTATTTATATTTTGTCCGCCATTGAATCTCAAATAGAAGGCTTTTTTCTTCTCTTGTTTACCATCCGCTTTAACATGGAAGTAGTGTAAATAGTTTGAAGAGGGCAACCATACTGCGCATTTGAAAGGATAGATCTAATGGTATAAATTAAAACTTCTCAATCAGAAAGAAACAGCGCATTCCACACGTGACTTGCATTAACGAGAAAAGCGTTGGTAAACTTTAAAAGGCGTTCCCCTCCCCCTCCCTCCCTCCAATACATAGTTTTTACATTCACAAACACCAGACTAATCTGATTTATTTGAAATTTTAACAACATATAAGCAGCTAATGTAATTTCTGTTGTACTTCTCACATTTACAGTTTTTGAGGAAATAACACTCCCGTCTTTTTTTCTTAAACGCTCACTTCTTTTAAAGTTTTAATTTATGAACTGATTATTCAAAAACTGTGTCAGCGTAATTGAAAAAAAAAACATGCGTGCAGCGAAAACTGCAGTAGTTATGGATGTTTAGTTAATCATGCATGAAATATTGGATCTGCAAACTACATGCATTAGAAAGGAATTTGGGGGGAAGAAAGCTCAATAAAATTAGTGGGAGTTATTTTCAAGTGCTATTCATGCGTTAATGCAAAATTCTCAGTTACTTTTACGTTTATAACTTAAGAACGATGTTATAAAATATGCATACTGTTGAAATATGTAACTATTAAATCTAATTAAATATCTTTTTATAATGTTAAAATATATAAAGGTTTCATATTTCAAATAATTTTTTCAATAAATTATTCAACTGTTGCAAAACTAAAATGTTAGATTTTTAATAAAAATATTTTTAGGGTCGTACAATATTTTCCATACAAATATTCATAAAGGAGTATTTTAGTAAATATTATTATGGACAAGATGTTGAAATGCATTTTCTTTGTAATGCGGAATGCTGCCAAAATAGAACGAATTAAACTAATAATTTCTAATCATCAATTACTGTCATAATTTATTGTACGATCACAAGAAAAATCCTATGGCTCATTATATTTAATTTCCTCATTATTATTTATTATTGTCATCAATCTCATGTTATTAACTAACACATTTACACAGGGGTATAGATATTCATTTATTTGAACCTTTTAGTGATCGTGCTCGTAAAAAATGCTCTTTCAACTGGCAATTTATCCCGAAAGGCAAACGTGGTGTATACACGTGTACATTGAGCAAAAAAATTAACCATTCTAAATAACTTTAGATCTAATGATCGAATGTTCGCTTACTAGAACTCAATCTTGACGCCCGGTGGCTGAGCGGTAGCGCTTCGCGTTGCTGTGCCACAGGTCCCTGGTTCGATCCTCGGGCCGGGCAAGACTGACTCAGATTTTCATCCCTTCAGTGGGTCGATAAATGAATACCAAGCATGCTTGGGAACTAAACACTGAGGGTTCCGCGTTCGGCTGACCACCTGACCGGAACATCTGCTCCTGCACCCCAGAGCCCAAGGTCAAGAAAACTGAGATGAGCACAGTAGGCCTTGACCCTCAAGGGCTGGCACGCCGCTCAGTTTAGTTTAGTTTTAGAACTCAATCTTAATGGTTTGAGTGGGTAACCTCAACTATGATAATTAATTAATGTTAGCAATGTTGCAAATTACGGAATCAAACACAAAAAACATATTTCCCCAGAATTAAACATACCTTTTTTTCGACGTATTCGAATTTCTGACCCTCAAAATATAATGGGTTGCCCCTATATGAGAAATAGGGTCCCAATAGTTTGGTCAGGAGACCGGTCCAAAGTTTGGACAGTTATTATTGACTTGGTTTGGAAAAATAATTGGATTGTTAAAATTTACAAGTGATGAGAAATATAATTAAATGAAACAAAACGATGTATCTAAACGCAGCATTGACGTAATGAAATAAATTACAGCAAAAGTAAAAATAAAAAATCTTTTATGTACTGATATTTACTTTGGTTGCAAAAAAAGTCTTTTTGGAAATAACCTAATAAATAATATTAAAATAATTGGGAAAAAAAAGCTTAGGCATTGTACTGGTCTTTTTACTTTTGTTCCGTGAACTAAAGAGAGCAAGAATTAAAATCCAGATAAAAAAAATGAGTTAGTGTATGGAGCTTACTATTTAATGGGATTAATTTTACTGAACATTTTCTTCGGTTCTAAAATCATTTGTATTGGATGGATAATTAATGTACAGTGCGCAAAAAAAAAAGACCACCGTGGATAACTTTTGATCTAATGATCAGATCTTCACGTTCTAGAACTCATTCTTAATGGTTTAAAGGGGTGACCCCAAACATGAAAATTAATTATGCATGGCAAAATATAAATTGAGCAAAATCGGTCAAATAGTTCCTGAGAAATTGAATTTTAAATATATCACTTCGTTAAAATTTGATTTCTTAGGAATTATTCAACTGATTTTCAAATTTTGATTTTTGACTTATAAAACTACATTCTTTAAAATGATGTAAAAATTTGTATATCTTACAATTCGAAACTTCTTCGACGATTATTAAATAAAATAATAAATAATTATTTTAAAAAAAAGTATTCTATGCATGGAACTATCTTTGGATAAACAAATATTATAATTGCGGGCAAAAATTTTTCGATTCGCTAAAGAGATTCTCAAGAAATGGCGAAATGCGTCGAAACTCAAATTAACATTTTAGGGTTCGAGCTTTGGACAGCTCTCCTGACCAAACTATTGAGACCATATTTCCCAGATTTCGGCTTCCCTCTATATTTTGAGGATAAGAAATTCAAATCCGACGAAAGAAAGATGTGCTTATTCAGAGAAAGTCCGCTTTGTGTCTTTCGTAACTTACAATTTTGTCTGCACTATTAATTAGCACATTTGAGGGCATTTCTTCAAATTATTAAGATTGATTCCTTATACGTGAAAATCCTATCATTAGGATTAAAAGTTATTCAGGGTAGGGAGTTGTTTCTGAGCTCTGTACATGTTACCTGAAGGCTGTTAATGTGCACATTTCTTGCCGAATCTGCTGAATAACTAAGGTAGTTTAATAAATTGCGAAATCAAGTGTTTTCCGTATTTTACCTAGATGATGCACACATTAATGGCTTCCATATCATTAAAACTTAAAAGTTTATTTTTCCCATTCTATTAAGTAATTTGTTGACTTGATTCTTTAGCTATCAAATTATAAATAAATGAATAAACACTAAGTAATTTCCTTAATTGTGAGAGTATATAAACCATTTTACTCTTTGTCTTATAGTTCTTTTAATCAAATGATGATTAATCCTAGCAACTAATTTGTTCTTTGTTTGATTAACTTGATTTTCAGTTTAATAAGTGTCTGGCAGATACTGTTCAGTTTGTTTTGGTAATTTGAGAACCGAAGCAATTGTCGGCACTTTTACGGGTCTGCCTAGTTAATCAGCACTTAACTTAGATAATAGGTAGAATAACTGATTTTTGTCCTTTAGTGGAATCATCTAGAATATTCGAGTTTTTTTATTTATTTTGAGAGTGCCAAAGGGTTAAGTTACGATCACGCAAAAATCTTTTATGGTGTTTATTACTGCTTATGATGTGACATCTGTGTTTGGTACTTATTATTAATTGTTTTAACTTTACTATTAATAGTTAGTTAATATTTACTTGTTTAAAAAATGTTCCTATCCTTTCATTATATTTCATTGTATATTTCATAATATTTCATTTTTATTGTACAATTGAACATATCAAAGAATTGATAACTTCGCAAAAAAAAGTTGTCCATCCATTCTGTAAAAGTTCTAGCATTTTAATCGAATAATATTTTTTTTAATG